GGCATACTCAGTCAGGAAGAATCCAAACACATAACAAATATCATGAGCATTAACAACAGTCAAATGCGCTTTGAATAATTTCTTTCGTTTGGCGCACCGCATACACGTTTGCAAGTTCGGTCTCGGGGCGCCGCCATCTTCCTCACTGGGGTGCGCTCTTGGGCGCGGCCATAATCCGATTACGATGCCTCAGCAAGGCTTCGTAATTGGATTATGATTCGCCCAAGCGCACCCCAGTCAAGCAAGATGGCGGCGCCCTGAAGCCGGACTGGCAAACGTGTATAGAGAACATTAACGCCCGTGCGGCGCACTTCCGGCGAACGGTGCGACATTCTTCATACAAGTGCTCGATTTTTGCTTTCTTAAAACGGTTTGTATGTGCGAATGTGCCTATATGATTGCATGATAACTTTATGCGGATACGCGATGTTGAATATTAGTGGAATGCAAGCGAGTGGGGACAATTTGCTTCGTGCAGTGTTGTGGGTCAGTACAGATATAAGAGATAAGAAGTGTGTTCGATTTGAGCTTTTCAATGGCGCCTCCGAGTTTTACCTCACATACTCGGGCGTCAGTACAGATAAGAGATAAGAAGTGTGTTCGATTTGAGCTTTTCAATGGCGCCTCCGAGTTTTACCTCACATACTCGGGCGAACTAAGAAAAACAGTAACTGCAAAAAGTTATATTTCGTTTATGGACGCACAAGACAAACACACTTCCTGCATTTCGGCGTTCCAATAATTCGGCATTTTGATTTTCGGCGTTTTGAATGCCACCCGTTAAAGGGATACTACAACGAAATTTCGGCGCTCATTTCTTGGTCTATGTGTTCAAAGGAGCAGCATCACATCGAACATACCAATATCTTGTTAAAAAAGTCTCGAAAAGGAATTTTAAAACGAATTAAACGATTAGCAAAGAGCACCTGGTGGATGTCGCTAACGCCTCGCTTGTAATGCCCGTCTAGGAACCTTGACAGCTAGTGACGGAGGTTGTCTCGCCTCCGGCCACGACGAGGGAAGGGGGGCAGGGGGAACTCCCCTCTTCCCTAGAATGCCTTTTGTGTGTCGCAGAAGTCGCTATTGTCCCCCTACAAGATTACAGAAGATTAACCCGTCACTCAAAATTCGTACAAAAGCAGCCGCTTCAGTGGCTGGAACGACTAGACCAGGGGTGGCCAGGCTGACTCGGCCTAAAGGCCCATACGCACATTCGCGTTTGAGCGCGGTGCGTTCCGTAGCGGCAAGCGGACGCGTTGCGTTGCGAAGACCGCTTGCGCCGAACTTGTACGCACAGTTGCGTTGACACGCAGTCAACCGCAGTCAAGAGCCAATAAGAACGCGCTATCGTCGCTAGTGGTTCACCAATAGTAAGCGAAATCCAAGGCAACATGGCGGCGCACGGCGACAGCGTCGAAGTGTTCGATCTTGGGACAATCTCGCCGGCTTCCCCGACGTTTTGTCAAGCTTGAACCATCGCAGCCTTGGAAAATACAGCCCTCACCGCTCCCCAAAACAAAAAAGCAAGCACTGCGACCGGCGAACCGGATACGTCTCGCCGAGTCGGCCGGAGCGAACACGTCACCCCCTCTCCTCTTTCGGCTTCTGATTGGTCGAACGCGCCCGAACGCACCGCAACGCTTCGGAAAGTTGAACGAGTCTCTACTCGCTTGCGTCGCGCTACCGAGCGTTGCGGGAAGGCGCGCGTCGGTCCGCAAGCGACCGCGCCTGGCCGCAAGGACTCCGCAACGCACTCAAACGCGTTCAAACGCGAATGTGCGTATGGCGCTTAAGAGCCGCAAACGAAGCCACGAAACTTCTAAAAGCCGCGGGGGGGGGGGGGGGGGGGGGGGGGCAAGCTTAAATTCTGTTTTTGAGTGTGACTGTACGTTTGGGGGCACAAGGTTGTACGACTGTACGTAGGGCGGTACAATGATGCCAAATCATGAGTCGTGCTTTATTTTGAAATTCTTTCTTTTTTTTTGCTGGGGAAACGCGGAAAGGGCCCGGGGGGGGGGGGGGGGGGGGGGGTCTCTTACAAGGGATCCGCGAGACGCAATTGAACCAGCAAAGAGCCGCGGTTTGGCCGCCCCTGGACTAGACCATCCTCTCGACGTCAGCCTCGCCGTAGCTTTGCTCGTCCTGAGACGACCTACGTCACGATTGCGTTGGATGTCACGTGGTCTCCGCTGGGCCTTCTCCGAGCGCTTGCCAGAATGGGCCGTTTATAACGAAAAATACAGCCACCAGGCTCAAAATACAAACTTGCGATTGTCATTTACGGATATTGTGGATCATATTCAACCTATTTTTGAACACGACGGGAATATTTCAAATTTCGTTGAAGTATCCCTTTAAGACAAGCTATACGTCTCGGGCCTGTGCTAAAGCTTCGAGGTCCGGCCATTTTGGTTAGTTTAGAGATAAAAAATGACGCTCTCGGGACCAGAAAACATGAGATACGCTCTGTGCATAATCGCTTGTCGACGTGTTGATCGAAACCGAAACCATGTCACTCTGCTCCCTGTCCACCCACTACTGCTAGTTCCTAGAGTGCAACGCGCGCAGTGTTGCATGCTGGGGTTTATGGAAGTAGTGGAATCCTCTTTATGCTTTCATGGGTTCTTCACAGCAAAACTGTCACAGATGGTCATTTATGCCATAGCTTTCGGCCGCGTCTGAAAACTAAAGTAACTAGACGCTAAGGGAAAAGGGGGGGGGGGGGGGGGGAAGTGCCGTAACTGTCAACGTTATTAGATTAGCTCAGTTATGAAACTGCTCATAGGCTCCATGTCATAGACGCTGCCTGCACGAGCATTAACCCCCTCTCTATCTCCCCCTCCTCCTCATTCACCACGACTCGCCTCCCGTCGTTTGACGCGCCGGACGGCTGCTTTGGTAACTGCCGTGTATTCTATGGGATGTATGGGATACGTAAGTTTCGAAGCGCGGCGAATAGATGGCGTTCCACCGTCTGGCTCTTCCGTATCCAGGTTCTTCAGCTAGCCCTCGGCCTCAAAGTACAGGGTGTCACAAAAGAAAATTTACACGGTCTTTTTTACCGCAAAAATAAACTAGGCATCGCCGAACGCTCATTCTCCGCCCAAAGGTAGCGCTAGAGGTCACTACCAGATGCCAAAGTTTCAGCCCGATCCGATAACTTAATCAAAAGTTATAAGTGATTTTCTGAAAACTTCAATGGGAAAATGGCGACCGACGGAGTTTTCAAACACATGGGGCTCTATGGCACCAGAAACCGAAAACGGGCAAAAATGGGCTCCATTTTCCCATTGAAATTTTCAGAAAAACACTAATAACTTTTGATTAAGTTATCGGATCGGGCTGAAACTTTGGCATCTGGTTGTGACCTCTAGCGCTACATTTGGGCGGAGAATGAGCGTTCGGCGATGTCTGGTTTCTTTTTGCGGTAAAAAAGACCGTGTAAATTTTCTTTTGGGCACGCGAGCATTTTAAAAAGCAATCAAGCACAATTCCCAGCCTCTCCAGCTCACCCTTGGGCCACTAGAGCAAATTGTTAATTAGGCCAAGTATGTACTTGTACTACTAACTGTTGCACCCTTGATTATACCCTGGGAGTTTAAAAAGCAAAACATTCTATGAGGGAATGAAAGGTATCATTAAAAAATTGTGTTAAAAAGTACTTGTATTTCACTTTGAAAGTACATTGTATTTATAGTACTTTACTTCAAATACCACATCGTATTTATAGTACTTTACTTCCAAGTACATTGTACCCAGTCTACTTACTAGGTACTTTATCTGAAGTACATAACCTTTCATTTACTTCATACTTTGCATAGTTGTCCCTTACCCAACACTGGTTTTAGGTCGTGGCAAAGCAACTTTAGACTGCAGCTTCTGGGCTGAGCCGAAGACAAGGACCAACCCACAGATGTTGTTGCACATCGAATATGGGAACATAAACAAATTATGTACAGAAAAACAAAATGCAAAAAACTAACATTATTAACCCGAAAGAAAGAAAAGCAGGTAAAAGGAATTTTAAAAATGCCTTTCACAGAAAACAGGAAAGCACCGAACACTTCTCTTTGCAGCCGATGCGTCATGGTACACACCTATCAGTTTGTGTTTTCCTGGTTGCTGCTGATCTTTTTAGATTAGGATCTTAGGATTATGAAGAGCAACGATAGGTGCCAAAGGATAGAAAATTTAGAGAAGCTTCTTACATCCAGCTGAACAAAGGTCTTCCAAGTGTAGGCCCACAAAGTAATTCCTCAATGCATCCTTTGCACACAAATGCATGGTTCAAGTTTCTTTATAAACTCCGAACAGTTGTTCAGAGACAGCCACAGCATCAAAAGTACCTCTGTCACCCCTGAGCAGCGTCAAAAACTGGTGTTTCGAGAGAAGGGACTAGTCGCTTTCCTTCAACATCTAGGAGCAGGTGGCGCATGAAGACTTTCAAAAAGAATTTATCGAAAATGCATCCGACAATGTGGGTATCCCAAAGTTTGCCTGAACGACGAGTGTTTGTCGTCAGTCGGGCAACCACCATTACCACTGCCGTCTACCGGTAAATCCTCGGCATTCTGGCGAGCAAGGCAGCAATGGCAGTAACTGAAACGACCGGTAACCATATATTTGAAGCCAGCCACAAATTGAAGCTTGCTCGAGGCATTCACATTCACATTGCTGGCAGCAGATTTTAAGTGTTCTCCAGGGGGGTCCTAATTGAGGTGCCTTGCGAGGAGATTGCCATGGTGATATTATGCAGGTCCTCCTACAGTAAGAGAACAAATAATACCACCTGCCATCCTTTTAATGTGCGAAGCTGCTTCCTTGCATCGAATTTCCACCGGGAAATTGCAGACGGCATGAACTGAAAGAAGTCGACCTACTTCCTGCATTTCTCAGATTTCAATTATTTTTCTCTTGCCAAGTGTGTACAGACTTGTTTGTTTCCTAAATTGCTGTTGCAGACAGCAATTAGAATTTGCTTAGAAGTAAGAAATGACCTGCATTTTTGTGTAAATTTATTGCAATAATAAAAACATGATAAAAGAGTTGTCTAAACAAGAATTTTGCACAACTGCATGGCGATCTAATACATGAACATTGACAATGGTAGTGCATTAACAAACATGCAGCATCATAGAATTAAACATCTTTATATTCCAAGTAATATCATCACAAAAATCAAGCCCATGAAAAAGCATGCCAGAATTAGAAGTGCTTGAAACTAACCAAAAAAAGAACTCTTCGAAAATATGTGGGTCATTCACACTAATGTCAATACTGTATTTTTATAGGCTCGATATTTTATTCACTTAAGACCATGAGTTTTGAGACTAGTTTTTGCATCTTTTAGAAGTTTATAAAATTGCCAAACTTCAATTGTTTCAATATAAAGGAAGGGTAATGCAGCAGAGTTTTAACATTTCTCAAATGGTGCTCCAATGAAAGCTTGACATTCATGTTTCCAGCATTTCAACATTTGTCAAATACAATTTTATAACATTCATATTACAAATGTACAAATATAATTATAAATTCCCTTTATCATGCCCACAATGATTTCATTGCTATGTTTAGTCTTCTCCCTACCCTTAACTGCAGCATAGAGTAACTGGCCAGGACAAACGTCAAGGCTAACCAAATCTATTACACAGTTTTAAGCCTAGTTTGCACCACTACCCAAAATACCCAAGAACAAAATCCACTATGTAGCTTTGTCAAAGGTGCATTAGTTGGTGCCAGCAAGATTGGCAGTTCCATCTCCTCATGTCTGCATTATGTACACAGAAAAATCGAGCATTGCTACATTACAAGTTCACGCACGAAGGGTACTACTTGCATAAACGTAACTGCTCCACCACTGGTCAGGTCAACCCCATCTAAAGCACAGCCTTCGAGCCTCATGTGCCAAAAGCATAGTTCCACTGGTCACCAAACTTGTCGTTGAACTTCTTCCCATCAATCGCGTTCATGGATTCGGCAACCTTCCGCACCGAGCGCCTGCAACGATACACAAGATTATGATTCAATTTAAGGGTGATGCGAACACGTCCAGACTTATAACCAAGTGCTCTATTGAAAACCGGAGCGTACTTGTTGAAAATTTTCTTCTCAAGCCGTGCCCTGGGGTTGCCCCGGCGACGGGGCAGGATCCGTTTCTGACGACGGCCAACGTGTAGCTGTGCACCTGTGGCTGCCTCCAAGTCCCTCAGAAGTCCGGGCTCTTGCCAATCGGGCACGGCAGAGGCCTTGGCAGTACTGGGATCTTGAGGATTGCCAAGCTCGTCCCGTGCCACTATAGGGCCGTGTAGTGGACACTGCGATATACGAAAGAAGGGCAATGGCAAAAGGTTCAGAGCCATTAAACATGGCAGTCAATGACACTTAGTTAACGTTACTAAAACAACTCAGTTGGGAAACTGCCATAGAGCCTGCTTTGCAAAAGTGGTTCCGATCGTACTCGAGAACTGATCTTTGACTGAACTAAAGGCGAACGCAACGCCGCCATTTCTTCCGCAGCGGCCACTCCAGGAACTGCACGGCTGCACGTATTGGTTAAGTTTGAGTCGCACAAGAGCCGGTGGCACCATCTCACAGTGCCATTTCGCAGTAGCTATATAAATGAATTTTCATGTTTTGACTCGTTGCTAAATGGTGGCACTCTTATCGTATTTAGTTTGGTCTCGATGGACGCGAGCGGTCCGGGTTTCAAGCGAGAGTTTCCAAGTGAGCGTTTTAGTAACAATGCACTTAGTCTATCGTAGTGATGTGATTGGTTCCAAGTCATTTTGGAGCACCTTTTGAAGCAGCCTGAAAACCACTTTGGAGCAGCAAAAACAACTTTGAGAGCACCAACATATATTTCCTTCTTACTCATTGCTCTGCACATAAAAAAGCTTTTTTTTCTTTTTTTTGATGAATTGGGTAAAGAAAAAAGAAAAAGTGATGAAAAATATTTTAATATAGACAGAATGTAGATACATACTCCAGCTACCTCTCCACATGATCACCGCAAAGATTGAGGCAGTTATCATGACATGCCACAAGCTTTAGGATGCTCTCCCCAAAAGAGGCCAGAACCTGTGTCCTCAGTCATTCTATCATGAGTTCAACAAGGCTGTCAGTCAGGGCCGTACCCAGAAAAAAATTTCGGGGGGGGTTTTCGGGGACAACGGCGGCCATTTTGAAAGTGTCTATTGTCTTATTTTCGCCTATGAATCATGTGCATCGGTGGCATATAATGGAGAGTTACAGCAAACCGGAGAACCGGTTCCGGTTTGGTACCCGGTAGCCGACCGGCGGCACTGCGCGTGCGCAGAGGTGGAGATTAAAATCGGCTGGCTGCCAGCGCACCGACCAGGGCCGTACCCAGAAAAAAATTTCGGGGGGGGTCAGAACCCCCTATCCCCCCCCCTGGTTACGGCCCTGCTGTCAGTCACCACAGCCGTGGCAAAAATTGTAAAATATGACATACACCAACTTTTTTCTTTTATTATTTAGGAAGAAATGTTCAGGTTGTCATAAAAAAGCAATTATGTAAAAAAAAAAAAAAAATCTGGGCAATGTTCTGCTTGTGAACATCACATCTGTCCGTGACATCAGATCTCTTTGTAGACTCCCCAAAGCCAAATTCCCACTGGCCCTCCTCGAGCCTGACCCTTAAATCCATCCCTGGCCCTAGCCTGCTCGTCTTTATTTCCTCCATCGCCTCCAAGAACAAAGAAAACGCAGGCAAGGGGGCGACGGCGGGACAGTGCACTACTATGTTTTCCTCTGTAGCGACGTACTGTCCCGTAAAAACAAAATAAAAGCGGGAGATACAAAACAATATAACCATACAAAAAGGTATATTTTGATTGACAAAGGCATTTTTGCTTGTTGCAAGGTGTCAAGCAAATAAATTTTTTTTAAAATTCACCGACTTTTCCAGCTTTTTCCTGACAATTACAGGTGAAATTCCCTGACCACCGTAAAGGCGGTTAAGTATACAAGACCATAGCAACACAAGGCATTGAGCATTGAGCACTGTGAGGATCATTTTGCACGGGCTTAATCCAACTTGCATATTCCGAAATATTCGGGTTCATCCACCACTGAAAAACAAGCACTTTCCTGCCGCTGACATCGTCAGTGAAGAGGCCACTTACGGAAACACTATGAAAACACGATGATGCTCAACCATACACGCCAATAACCGAATGGCCGCATGGCCACCAGATGCACATTTTCGCATTAAGGTATGAATTAAATTACGGTCTGCGACTTTCCCATTTGTTACAAAATCTAACAGCTCTAGCTGAATCTAGTCTAGTGTCGTGCCCTCAATTCAATTCAGTCCAACCCAAGGCTTGTACTGGATTTGCCAGCTCTTCCCTTTGCATCGGGTAGCATACTCTACATTGGGTGAGCAGAGCCTGCGCTCAGCTCTAAGCATAATTTATTGCCTATTATTCTGCACCCAAATTGTCAAGCCTTTGCTCAGGGAACTCGATCATTTCCGGCTCAATTTCCCTGACAGGCCTCACTTTTTGACAATATCCCTGACAATTCCCCGATTTTTCCAGGTAATTAGAATTTCCCTGACAATTCCCGGTTTCCCGGTCGCTAGACACCCTGTTGTTGTCATTCTGTATCTTCTGTATTTTTCTTTTTACAGGACAGTGCACCGTTATTTAGGCCACTCGGCCATTGGCAGGCATTACAAAAATCTATCTAGCCATCTATCTAAGGTCGCCTCTAACATTCACTACAGCCAGTTCTATACAACTAGATTCCAGCAATTTCTTGTCACCACACGGGGCACTGCACACTTTGCTACAGGTGTGCTGTAGATAGTCAGAATTGTGGATTGCTAAGTATTTGGTAGGAACTATGAAACGCATAGGAACACATGCACTACCAGACCTTGAACAACAACGCTTGATCCCGTTGGCCCAAGCTGCAGTGACCTTGAATGAGCTGCCTAAATGCTGCTTTTGTACCCAGTGTGGGCTATTTTGTACCCCAAAGTTCATACAAAGAAGTCTTCTTCTAACTCCCTTCTCACCAGTCGGAAGAGAAAAGGGGAAAGACGACCAAATAATTTCAACCTTGTTTCGACAGGTGTCAACAGTTAATTTGAAAATGGTGGATTTCTGCAAAAGGCAGCTGCTAAATGCAAAAAGAATATAAAGTGGACCTCCTGCAAGAGCTCTCAGTCACTTCTGCTGATGCATCATGGAAAGACAAGCAGTGTTGCAACAGAGAAAGCCCATATACCACCATGAACCTGAAGAAAACCTAACAAACAAATTACTGTAGACCAGGCTTGCCAGTGATCATCAGCAACTTCCCCAATACGCCACACTGAATCGGGTATGAGACACTTACTTTGTGACGGTCCCGGCGTGGACAGAGTTTACCGCTCGGAAGCCTGGCTCTGCAGGTCCATTTGACAGGCACAAATTCCCCACTGAAGTCGATGCGCCGCTCCCGGAACGGCACCACCTGACAAGTTGCACTCAGGTTGACACGAATAAAAAGCAGAAAACGGAAGGTCAAAGGGTTCGCAATCGCCAAACCTGTTGCTGCAGAGAATCTTCATCTCTGTCGGCACCCTTCCAAACGCAGTTCAAGTCCAGGACTCGAGCGGGAGTAGGTGCTTCCACTTTCTCTTGCTCCCAGTACAAAAGATCCGTGTCAAACGGGAGCGTTGGTACCGCACTGGATGTGCTCGGCCCAGCCTCCATAAGATCCCTATAAAACACCAGCTTCACTTTAAAGGGGTACTCAGGCGATTTTTCGAGCTAGCCCAACTAACTATATATTCTGATTCCCCGGCGCTTGCCCTTTCAGATATGCTATTTAGTATCGCGAAATTCATAATAGTTATTGTGAAACCGGCATATGAAAATGTTGCAAAATTCAATATTCCAATATACCCACTTTTCAGTGCCGTGATGTCGGTAAAAGGCAGGCTTGCCAGTCGAGCAAGCAGTCTAAAAAATAGACTATGCCCAGCATTTGTTCCGTGATGGTGCGCAGATGCTGGAGCGAGCTTTCAAAGCATCCATGAAACTGCTTGTAATCAGTTAGGAACAAAATCTACAGTCCAAAGAGTGAACCCCTACCTTCCACTGGCGTCACTTTTTCGTTATTTCAAGTAGAAACTTTCAGTTTGAAAAACATGGTGAGGACCAAAATTGTAAATTCAATAACTTATTTTCAGGCAAATCGGGGACCATGAAGAAATCGCCAGAGTACCCCTTTAAAAGGCCATCACCAGCTTGTATGCTCGAAGTCGCTTACTTGGCACAGGGAGCCGTGCGGGCTGGATGATGCTTGGAAGATACACCACAGCTGTACAGCATAGGGAACTTTGAGTTAAGAACACCGATGCAGGGCTCGACGAGCTGAGCAATACATACATTTCCAAATCGTTCTGGCTTGCAAGCATTTCAGCGAGCCTTCGCAACTGGGCCTCCCTGGAAGTTGGATCAGAAGCTTCGGTCTCAGGAATCTTTTTCTGTAATGTCTTCTTCGGTGGTCCTGATTCGATCGGTTCCAAACCTGCCAAGGTCATAGCATAGTCCCAAATGTCGGAACTCCCGCAAGCAAGCCAAAACACCAAAAACAAAACAACACTTACCATACTCTGCCCGCTTGTTAACAGGAATTATAGGTTCATAACCTTCTTTGTCGGGCACTTCCTCGAGGTCGCTGTCGTCCGAAGAAGCCTCCGGCTCTACATGCAGCTCGCCAAACTTTTCGTGGGCCGCTTCGATGCTACACTTCAAGTCAATGGTGTTCCGAAGTATGTCAGGAGGGTGGCTGATCTTGGCCAGCCCCTTCAGCCACTTCTTGACCAGGGGGAAGAACACAGTCATGAGTTCATGATGCAATCGACGCAGGTTGTCCAGAAGGTCCGCATTGTCTGTGGTCTCATTCATCCTGACAACTTGGGGCACTTGAATTTCTAGCGTGAAGGTGGCAGACACAGCGTGGCCCCGTAAACGCTCAGCTTGCGAGGTTTCTGTTTCTGGCTCTGGAGGAGGCTCTGGTTTTCCACCTGCAATTTCATGCGGCACCAGCAAGCGAAAGCAATTTTCCATCTGTGTAATCACAAGCTGCACATCAGGGGTGCGGTCAGAGATTTCGGTGAGCATTCTCTGTGCCCAGGCGGGTTGCTCCTCCGTGCGTCTCTGTGCCTGCAGAGGGCAGTAATGCTTGTTTTTCCATTCTAGCAAGCAGAAGAAAGATCTCTCACCTGCTTACGGTTCTTTAGAAAGTTGACACCAAGAGACAGGAGTTTGTAGTTTGCGCCAAACTTTTCGTGCCATTCATCAATCACCGCTAAAGACTTCTCTTTGAGGTTCCTAGCTGCAGCCTGGTGAAAGACCGCGTACGAAATCGTTCAAGCACATATGTTTAAGAAATGTGACGTTACATACCTCACTTCCCGGGAGCGGCAAGTCGAGATTGGTTTCTGCAACGAGTTCCATGAACTTCTCGAAATGCTCAAGAAGTAGTGTGCGGAAAAGGTGAGATCGTTTGAAGAGCTCGTCAGTCAATCGGACTGCATCAAGACGCGTCTCTGAGTCGTCTTCTTCTAATGCTTTCATGATGAGATGATAGGTATGCTTCAAAAGGTCGTCCGATGTCCTGCAATGAAAAGCATGACGGTGGTCGGCGAATCTAGCTTTCTCGTGTAATCATGATACTTCATTTGAGAACATTGCAGACTCCTGCAGGTCTCACCGGCACAACTTCTTTAGCCTTTTCAGTTTCTTTTCCTTGGATTGTTCAGAACCCGGTGATGTCAATTCATCAATTAGTTCTGAGAGTTCAGCCACCTGTTTTTCTTGTTCAGAATTCCGAAGGTTCATTTTTGTAAACTGCGGTTGTTACGATGGAGTAAGTAACCAAAAAGACACTGCCTCTGCCTCAACAGATTGGATTGGATTATGTAAGCTACTAAGAGCATAGCTAAGAAGCCGAAACTGAGGTGAGATCAGGGCTGTGTTCCAAATCTTCAAAAGATTGAAAAACGCTGGACGAGGGTAGGTTTTGAAACGCCAAGGTACAAAACCCTTACCCTGGAGTAAGCTTGAGTAAATTTTGGAACACGGCCCAGAAGTCAGAAGCTGTGTTCCAAATACGGGTCGTGTCACGTGACAGCACGGATTGAAAAGCGCTGGACGCGTGTAGGTTTTTGAGCGCCAAGGTTCAAAACCTTTACCCTAGAGTAAGATCGAGTAAATTTTGGCAGCTCTATTATTTTGTATGGAAAGATATGTTTACCAAAAATGTATTGCATAAAATCGATTCGGAAGGGGTACCCCTGGATCGCGCTTGCCGCTCCCGCAAGTGAAGCCACCGGACTTCACTCGCTTGGGATACGATTTGCCGTTTTTGCTAGCCTTTGCTGCGGTTTTCCAGCGTGCTGTGGACACGTTTTCTATTCGTTCGTCGTCATTCGCCGAAGAAGTTTTTTGAAAACTCTGTGTATTGTTGAGACTTGCCGTCGTGAACACGTGGAAAATTTTACGAAAGTGCAGTGTCGCAGGAAAAAGGCACAACGCGTCGAAAGGAAAGGCTGGCGGCGTGTTCAAAGCTTCCTTGGCACGCCGAAGTGCCGTGTCTCTGTGCCTTCGCACGCTTGGATACCGACCAAGAATCGACGCCGTGTGGATGTGTTTTGCGAGTGCAATGTGCGTGAAGCCGTATCAAAAGGTACAACTCGTCGAAAACAAGTGTCGCCGGTGTCGCGGAGTGATCAAAGCTTCCTTGGCACGCCGAGTGATGCATCTTTGTGCCTTCGCACGCTTGGATACCGGTCAAGAATTGACGCCGCGCCAAAGTTCTGAACGTGTGTCGCGCGTAGAAGCCTTTAGATCATTTATATATATCGGCCACGGAGTTCTGGATCGTCCAGCTGTTCCGGTGAGTTGCTATCAATAAAAGGGAGAGATCTGTACGTGTTCTTATGTACTATATTAACCATGGCTATGTCCCAAATCTACTCTAATAGATTCCGTGGGAGCACGAATAGAGCAACGTTGTGGAGCCAGGGGGGTTTTCGAAAGCAAAAGTACAAGACGGCGAGAATGAAAATCTTTGAAGCGCGGCCGATATGGTCGTGTGCAATCTGCTGACCAATTACAATTAGGCGAGCCGCGCTCAAACGTCAAGTGCAATTAAGTAGGTTGATAATAAGCCAGCACTGATCAGTGATGAGGAGCTGTTGTGCACGGTATTGTGTAAATCGTCTAAGGACGAAAAAAAGACGTACCTTCCCCCATCTTCCGTCGCTAGTGGACGCTGGATTAAGCTCGTTCCTAAACCGCGAGGGGAAAAGACGCTGATCCAGAGACACGAACAGCTTCACGCACATTGCACTCGCTAGACACATACACACGGCGTCGGTTCTTGGTCGGTATGCAAGCGTGCGAAGGCACAGAGACACGGCACTTCGGCGTGCCAAGGAAGCTTTGAACACGCCGCCAGCCCTTCCTTTCGACGCGTTGTGCCTTTTTCCTGCGACACTGCACTTTCGTAAAATTTTCCACGTGTTCACAACGGCAAGTCTCAACAATACACAGAGTCTTCAAAAAACTTTTTCGGCGAATGACGACGAACGAGTAGAAAACGTGTCCACAGCACGCTGGAAAACCGCAGCAAAGGCTAGCAAAAACGGCAAATCGTATCCCAAGCGAGTGAAGTCCGGTGGCTTCACTTGCCCTGCAGCGAACAAGCGGGGCAGAGCCGTATATGTAGAGAGTTTGGCCATTCGTTGGGAAGTATAGGAGACAAATGAAGCGGCGCCATTGGCCGAAAGCGGGCTGGGCGTGTTCCGGGGCGTCTTCAGAAATTCGAATGTGACCAACCAGAAGCCGGAAATAATACCCTGGCGGTGGTCGCGAGAAACAAACCTGATAACTGCATTGGAGTAACTCTCGATGGCTGAAAATATGGTACACGTGATGTTTCAATCACGCTCATCCAAAATGATGGTGGAAGAATGCGACCAGCGGAACGATCGACATAATCCGTACGCCAAACGCCAAGGGCCGGGAATCTGCCGTCAGAGCGGTCACACTCTGTCCGCGCAAAACGGAGTTGAGCGGCGCATTCGTTTCTTACATCTTTCTGCAAGAACATGATGAAAACAACACGTGAACCCTATTTTCAACCACAAAGAGTCACTACACTTCACTCTTACGCACTTATTAAAACCATATACGAACAAAGACCTTCGATGATCGATCGGCTCAGAACTGTTTCTCGCTACCACCGCTAGGGGATTCTTTTCGGCTTCTGGTTGGTTAAGAGAGCATGCCAAGCCCTCTTTCCTAGAGTGCCTTCATACACACGCGCGCTTTTGCTTGAGTGGTGACATCTCAGCCATTTTTCCGCCCAATCGTTGTTTATGCATTTTGAAGTGCGCGCCATCCGGTGTCCCTCAGCTCGAGCGCGTAGCTTTGGCTAATGCATAGACGCCATTTCACCGCCCAAGTCGCGCACCGAGTGCGCGAGAGCGTCACGCGCTGGCACATTCAGGGCAACAATGAATGTCTTCACCCTGAGACAGACAGACATGTAGGCACCCTATCTTTCCAAGTCTACCGCACGCCCTGGCTCTGCCCGCGCCTCCCATTGACCAAACTCTCTACATATACGGCTCTGAAGCGGGGAAGCGCGATCCAGCAATTGTCATAGAGATCAGTGGGTACCCCCCTCACTCACTTCAGTCCGCCTCCCGTCGTTCGAAGTGCCATCTAGATTTTTGTTGGTGGCAACGAGGGCGAGAAATCGGCCTTTGAGATGGCATGACAGCTCGCGCCATCTATGGGTCGCTGTGTGGTGGCCGTGTCGGCCGTGCCACACGAGCTGAGGACGAGCTACTATGAGCTCGCGCGTTGAGCGCGCGCGTTTGTTCGATAAAGGCGCACAGAACATTTTCACGGATTTAAACACGTGCTCTTTTTCTATTCTTTCTTTTGAACCTGAATTTGATCGGGAAGGCGACGCTAATTACCCGATCATACTAATCGGGGCGAGGTGGAGGCGTGTTCCTTTATCAGTACCCTTCACCGATAGTCGGTGCGTGCGTTCTTCAACTGTTCCAACACAACTCGGCAGCTGCTCTGGACGAGGTAGTACGGAAAGTTATGGCCGAGGACGACGCACCTGAAGGATGGATGAATACCAAAATGAAGCATTCTCAGAGTGACAACCTCGCCCAGCAGCGAATGGAACATTATATTAGCGAACTGGAAGCAGTTGGTGGCATCATGACGATTTCTCCCGTGACCAGGTGAGACAGAGATTGCCGATGGAATCGTAAAATGGGAGAGTCGAGGCTAAACCTACTCGTGAGTTGCATAACGATGACTGAAGGGACTGAAGTCGATTGAAATCAAGAGACGCTGCCGCTCGCGTAGATGCCGCCGGCGTTGCCGTTTTCTGGAGTGAGCGAACCAAATATTTTGCATCACAAACTTATGAGTTCTTCAAATATAACATTCCATTGATTGGCATTGGCCGTTTGTATGGAGGACTTCAGCCCTTTAGCTTGTAATTGTTCAGGGTCCAGCTGTCCAGCTGTTGAGAAAATTATAAAAACGTCCGAACTCATCGAACCGAAACCAACGTGAAAACTGTGGGAAGAGGCCATGCACATCTCAAAGGGGGCGCTGTAGACATTTAATGCCTAATGTCCTTGCCGCGCCCCGTGCGTGCTGGTGGTCGCAGCATTGACCTTTTTTTTTTTATAACATTTAGCTGATTTGAGAGGATGGTAGAGAATGGAGTGGACACTGTTAAAGAGCCATGTACGACGGGACATCTCGAGCACGAACACCTTCTGTTTGAGCTGGAGACCAGCGACTCGAGCAGCGTCGGTCTGGTGCTTAGGTACTCATTCGCTGAATTTGTCGCGCGTTGTCCGGCCTCGGTATCAATTAATTTTAGCATTTATGGTGTGATCTGTTACCTCGATAAGTCCCGCCCGGCATGCGCGATTCCCGACGTTGTGGCTCGTTTCAAGAGCTCGCATTCACGGCTGGAACGGCCGTTATTTGACTCTACGTTAGTGTAGTTTGGACAACTCGTTCTCACGGGAAATAGATTTGTGTCTTCGCAGTAGCTGTCAGCCTAACTCAATAAAGTAGCTGCATGCCGGCTTAGACAGCTCTTTTTTACTAGGCTAGTGTCCTGAGCTCTACAACTGATCCCTGTTTCCTACCAGGAGCCTAGCGAGTGAGAAGCAAGGTGTGTGCCTTCTGCCCTTTCGCGATCACACACTCGGCTTGTGCCGTCTCGTTTGGCACCGCTATTCGGTAATTTAGAATATCACTACGGTGTGCCATGGGTATATTTATGTCCCACTTAAACCATGTATGCTCACAAAAAGAGCAAGTGCCCAGCTTCGTACAGTGAGTTCACTGCATAATACAGCTTCTCTTTTGTTTCCTTACAGGGCAATCTATGACGGAGATGAGCACGAAAAGTTTCTGGAGAAGCTGGATGCACGTATCAGCGACCACGACCGCGAGATTGAAAAGATGTGCAATTTCCATTACCAGGGCTTCATCGACTGCATCCGAGAATTGCTGCAAGTACGGAGTAAAGCACAGAAGTTGAAGGTAAGCATCTCCACCTTGTGATCTATGATTTATCTGACAATGGCGAGTTGCATTTCCAGAATGAGGTGACACGAACAGACCAAGAACTTCAGGAGACAGCCAAGCGGGTGCTGCAGCGAGCAGACGAGCTGGTCAAGTATGGCCACATTCAAAGCAACATCGCTTGGACCATTGGGAGCTTGGGCGTATGCCTACCTGTGCTGGATGTGTATGCCAAACTGATGGAGCAGATGGCAGGGCGTAGGTACTATCCAGCGCTGAAGACCATTGAACAGCTAGAGCACACATACCTGCCGCGAGTGGCGCAGCATCGATTTGCCCAGTCTATGGCCGTTTGCATACCACGCCTGCGGGATCGCATCAAGGAGGCTTCCCTCTCAGAGCTGAAGGACTTCCTTGAGAATATCCGCAAGCACTCTGGCCATATTGGGGAGGTGGCCTTGAACCAAGGCTGCAAACAGCAGCTGGAAGAAGATGAAGATCTAAGTGCCCAGGACTTGGTGGATTTCTCACCTGTCTACCGCTGCCATCACATCTACAGTGTGCTTGGTGCTCGGGACACATTTGAGACATATTACCGGCAGCAGCGGAGGCACCAAGCCCGGCTTGCTTTGCAGCCACCCACCAACATGGTATGGTAGTTTGAGATTCTTTTTCTAATTGCCCCTTTGTGGTACTGATGGTTCTGAATTTACAGACAGTTGTAAAGCAAAATAATGCATTTGTTTTTGTTGTCCTGTCTTGTACATGAATGTGCTGCTCTGAATCTGCTCAGCCACATTATTGCTATGGTCAAAGACAGAGTCACTGAAAAACAATCTCTTCCGTTTGCAAATAATGATAATCTTTATTTGTTAGAGAAATGGTACTTCAGGTAGCTTGCAAGGCTAGAACAGAAAAGCAAATGTCCATAAACTTGTTTGCCTGTGAATGCACATCATAGGGCAGCAAAAAGCAGAGTCCTATGATCATCCAAGCACATTATTTATTATTCATACCCACTTATTTCTTCAGTATGTTTGCTGCACCATTACTGCTTATTTTTTATATGTACCACATGCAGACTTTGTATGAGTTTGTTGGGTTTTCATATGCATATGGCTGTGTCTTAATGTGTGCTTTTGGCCATACGCTACTGCAGGGGTCTCCAAACGTTTCGGCTAAGGGGCCGGATTGGGCATCTGTTGTAGTCTCAAGGGCCGGAAAATAAAGAAGTAAATGTAAATGAGATGCTATCTATATAAACATGAATAGGCATCTAAATACAGAAACATATATTAGAGTAAAAATATTTAAAAAATGTAAGGTGGTTACTTTATTTTGAAGTTCAATATGTTGCTGATTATGACATTACAAAATTATTGTAACCCAGAAAAGTCGCCAGGTATAAATCAAAGTGCAAAAGAACTTCGGCGTATTCACACGGGCCAGAAGACTAATGAGAATGGTAGACCTGATGGTAATTACAATATTCATGATGCAAGACTAAGCATGATATACAAGAGAATGCAAAGAAATTTTAACACAGTTACACAGACATGAAACAGGGGACTATGAATAGTTAATGCTGGTGCACGATGAACAAAAAGTATTATGGCAAGAGAACCCGCCTTTCAACGCAGTTTTCACTCTTTCTTTCTGATATCTTCGTTTGCGATCGGGGTGCGCGTCTCAGCGCTGTTTTTTTATGCACACTTATTTCTGCGTTGGTAGCAGTGGGCCGCGGGCCAGGTGTCACTGCAAAGCCCACAGCCATCTGCGGGCTGGCCAGAAGGCCTAGGCGGGCCGGGGTTAGCAGACACCTGCTACAGTAAGGGGCGCCACATCTACCTGAGCTACCTTAAGATCTCTGTTTTTCCAAGCCCCTGTCGTTGATGGTAGATCAAAGCAGCACAATTTTAATGACAAATATTTTGCAGCATGAAACAAGTGATGGCTACAGAAAGTACTTTTCTGAAATTGTGGGGTGAGTTCTGTGAAAAAAACAGATTCCATTTAATTGTCCTTAACACTAATTGTGGCAACTAACAGCAACACTGGGGATGTTGTATTCAGATTCTTTGTTGTGGAAGATCACATCCTGAACACTGCAAGTGGCTTGGTCAACCAGGCCTACCTAGACCAGGTATGGGAGAATGCCTTGACCAAGATTACTGCTGCACTACGGACACACTCTGTAAGTGAGACTTTCGGAAGGTGCCATGGAGTGCCTTGAAGGAATGATACCCGATTGCTTTGGCATAGGCATACTGCACAGAAGCCGGCCTTATGCTTGAGGTGAAGAAGCTCATCCTACTGTTCGGCGAAACCTTGCGGGTAAGGACCACTGCACATTGTTTAGGTACATTAGTCACTGTGCATCTTTTTTCAGAGCTATGGCTACCATGTGGACCCTGTGCATAACCTTCTTCTCGAGATTCAAGAGCACTACAATGAGATTCTGATGAAGCACTGTGTCCAGACTTTCCGCAACATCTTTGATGACGACTCGTACCACCCCATTGAAGTGTCTGCGGAGGAAGAGTACCAGGCTGTGCTGGCCACCTTCCCTTTCCGGGATGAAGCGTTGGAACAGGTGAGCTAGAAGAACCCTTGTGTCAGGAAGAGCTCACAGGATGTGCGGTTTCACTGCAGGCACCATTCCCAAAGAAGTTCCCATTCTCACGCTTTGTTCCCGGTATCTTTGGCCAAGTCAAGGAGTTCATCAGGGAGTGTCTAAAGTTTTCCGAAGACCTCAATGTCAGGTACACTTGCATATGCATACTTCGGGCTGCTTTACTGAGGCTAGTGCTTACAGTCAAACGGAGGTGGAGGACATGGTTCGCAAGGCCACCAACTTACTGCTCACAAGGACCTTGGGTGGATGCCTGTCGTCGCTCATCAAGAAACCCAATGTGGGCCTACTTCAGGTACATGGCTTGTGTAAATTGCTATACTCCGTTTTACTTCGAGTGTGAGCATCGAAGCTACAAGAGCGAGCTCCGGGCTCTCAGCGTCCCTGCCAAGCTTGCTTGCTTGTGCGGTGCAGTCATCGTTCAGGGCACATGCTTGGGCTTATAGCTTCGTCTCCGCTTGCACATAGCATGAAAGAAATGGTAGGGCTTTTATGACACCAGGAATGGTTTATCTTTGAACAGCTAATCCAGATTACCATCAACACAAACTACTTGGAAGATGCAAGTGTATTCCTTGAGCAGTTCATCTCTTCTATCTTCAAGTGAGTTTTTGAGCATGTAACATCCATCTACTGGCGAAAACTCTTACTTTTTTGTTTTTGTTTGCAGCCGCTGGTGTGGCGACAGCCATCATGTAGCGAAATTACAAGGGAGGACCATGTTCAAGGTGATGCATAAAGTCTCTGTAGTGGAGGCGAGCAAGATGGTATAACATCTCTTGTGCAGGACGCTCGTAAAGATGCTGAAGACCAGATCTACGAGCAGCTCAAGGACAAGATTGGCGAATTTCTTGAACTAGGTATGATTTGCAGGCACACTGCAAATCAGTTGGTTTAAAAAAGTGTTATTGTTGCAGCCCACTATGACTGGCTACTGGTCGAGCCCGAAGGCCAAGCCAGCAACTACATGATGGACCTGATTGCCTTCCTCAACAATGTCTTCCAGGCATTCACCAATTTGCCGGTAGGTTGAGGGGAGGAGCGAGAGGTGTGGGAATATAAAACTTTTGACTGTAACCTGAATACAGGGCTAGGCAGTATCGCGATACAAATGTATCGCGATAGCATCTTAGAGATACTTTCAAGTATCTGTATTTCTGTATTGGGATACATTTGTAAAATGTATTTGTATCTCAGTAGTGAAATACATTTTCAATGTATCGCTTGTATCGCAATACTTTGCCCGACTTAGGCATCTCGTTACATTTGTTGCCCTTTTTAAGTTAAATTTAAAGGATAAAAACATCTGTTTGGTGCAACTTGCTTGGGAATTTATAATATAAACCTGCCCTATAACATGATCCATCACCACCAACAATAAAAAAGAATTGTGGTTTAAAGAAGGTTACTTGCAAGAATAACAAAATCAGCTCCTCTCACAAAGCCGTCCACTCTTTTCAATTTACTGGAACAAGCGCTGTAAAGCAGTTGAGTGGAGAAAAAGTATGGCCCTGTTGTCCAATCTCCCTACACTATGGGTGACTCAGAAGCTTATAATGTGACAGTTTGAGATGCGCCGTCACGGCAAAATTGGGTTCATTTCGGGCAGACGCCTCTTGTCAAGCATGGTACGCAGTCTTTACCATTCTGTAACTATGTGGTTCAACGGGGGTGACATGTCTTGTTAGCATAATCAATGATAGGTAAAGAGTTTGAGGTAATGGGTAGTGCATAAAATGGCACAAAAAGAGGAGCACAAGCATAAATTACCTTTCGCGTTCGCCACGAACTGCACCCTCTCAACGTAGCATCGTTCGGGAACTGTATTTCTATAAGTATCTGTATCTGTATTTCGGAATACTTTTTCGCTGTTATTGCGGAAGTATCTCGGGGATATCCCTTTGCATAAAAGGCAAATGTATTCAGTATCTGTATTTTGCCCTTAAAACACATGTATCTCAGTATTTGTATTCCCATATACGTTTTGGAGTATCTCTACCCAGCCCTGCCTGAATACAAATGTATTGCGCATGTTCAAATAGTGGATTTTGGGTTCGAAGCGAATGCAGAGCGAATAGTGGTTTCGGCCTAATATTTTAGAATAAAATATTGAATAGTTCTTCTAAGCCTTTCACTACTGCACCATGCTTAAAGGGGGACATAAGCCTAAGTTTCAAACTTTTTTGAAAAAATTCATTTTTCAATTTTGAGGTTTTCGGTTTTAGAAACTAATTATACACCCTTACACTAAATTTCATAACTCTGCGCCAAATAGTTCCGTTGATATAAAATATTTTCAACACATTGTGAGGCAGTAACAAAGTAAAGGAGTTCAATGTTTGAATGCATTTGTCTCAGTTCCACTTTTTGCTGCAAATTTCATACGAAGGAATCTTTTGTTCGAAGGTAAAAGTATTCTGATACCACAATCAAGATGTTTCTGAACTGAAATTTACTGGTGAATCGGGCTATCTACTTTATTTTGTTTTAAATTAAAGTCCTCATTGAGAAAAAAATATATTTTCAAAAAGGGACATAGGACAGATATGCATCTCATATTTTGAGGTGATCACTCTTCCTGAAATATTTACATTTGAGTTATAAAAACTAGAGAGCCCGAAATCCCACATCCCACACTTTATACTCAAGCAGTTAAAGTGATGCTTAATAGCTTCATTTGCAATCATAGATTTCTTAACGAAGAGTGACACATCATCTCATGCAGGTATGTAAAGTTGTCCTAGAGAGCTGAAAGTTTGCACAGTGCACCTACATCTGAAGTTAAATCTCCCCTGCAAATTTCATTCCAATAGCCAGTGTTCCCCCTTAAAGGTGCACTAAAGACATTTTTTAGATTTTCTGTTCTTGGTGATAACTCATTCCATGGGATCTTATCATCCCAGAAATCGAAAAATTATGCTCGTGCGACGTCTTTTTCCCTGCTAAAAATGTGATCGAAGTTCGTGCCAGGCCCCTTTCTGAGCGGAAAAATCTGGAGCACAGAGTCTAGCGAAGGTGCCGGCAGTGTGACGACGGCCTCGCATCAGCCAGTCGCAAGCCGGCTCTCTTGAAAAGGCGGCTTGCGATTGGCTGACGTGTGCCCGTCGTCATGCCGCCGGCGCTTTTCCTGGATTCTGAGCTCCAGATTTTTCCGCTCGAAAAGGGGCGTGGCATTAACTCCTGTCGCATTTTAGTAGTGAAATAGACATCACAAAAAATGATAATTTTTGGATTTCTAGGATGCTTGGAGCCCGTAAGATAAGTTACCACCAAGAACAGACAATCTGAGAAACGTCTTCAGTGCACCTTTAAACTAACACCCAGGTGAACTCAGGAATGTTGTTCCCAAGTGTCCAATTGTTCATTTATAAGCTAATTTAATTTCAATCCAACTCTATTTATGAACTACGGCCTCAGAATGTCGAATGGCTACATTGGGATGGCAATTAAGTGACTGATTTGACGTGAAATTTAACCTAAAGAGATGCCCAGCTATACATACTAATCGAAGGGATTTATAAAACTTGCCATATGCAAATCCAGTCATATCATGTTAATATGGACCCCGTTAATATGGATCATTTTCGGGGACAGACAGGAAAAATACATGAATTTTTGTCTCGTTATATAGACAACTTGCATTATGAAAGATTTTTTTGGGGGAACGGAGGTGTTCATATTAACGAGACATCACTGTATTCCATTTTCAGTCTCTAGTTAAAAAAAAAAAAAACACAATTACGAATGTTCAATGCAGGTTGTCAGGGCATCTCTGCCTGACATTTACTCTTGCATAATAGCCACAGTTTAATTTTGGAAATTTTACCGAAAATTTACAGGTTTTTTTTTAACCGCAAAAATAAACTACACATCACCGAACGCTCGTTCTCTGCCCAAAGGTAGCGCTAGAGGTCAGAACCAGATGGCAAAGTTTCAGCATGAACCAACATTTTATTTAAAAGTAATAAGTGATTTTCGAAAAAATTTTGATGGTAAAATGGTGGCCGACGGAGCTCTCGAATGCATGGAGCTAACGACACCAGAAACCGAAAACGGGTGAAAAAGGGCCCCATTTTCCTATTGAATTTTTTAGAAAATTATAACTTTTGAATAAAATATTGGTTTGTGCTGATGGCATATGGTTCGGACCTCTAGTGCTACCTTTGGGCGGAAAATGGGCGTTCGGCAATGCATAGTTTATTTTTGTGGTGAAAAAAGCCCTGTAAATTTTTCTTGGGGACACCCTGTGGATATCAGCATTAACAAAGTTTTTGTTTCCTTTGAAATGCACCAGGTGTGCACGTGCATTATCCGCTTTGAAAGTGTGCTTTTCCCCTAAGTATGCCACAACAATATTTGTACTTTTCGAAGGTTTCAGACCCATTCACACACTTGGCGACTTAGGACCGTGTGACTTGAAACCGTTAAAACCTCTTAAAATTTCTCACGACAAAAGACCACACAAGCACCACCTATCAGGTAGTTGTGGAACACTTGGCGCATCTTTCTTTCTTTTCTGGCTCGAAAATCTTTTGTCAATGTTATGAACGGCCCTTTCTCATAGGCCCTACATACATTTGGCCTCGCAAATACCGCGAAACCTTTGCTCTAGTGAAAAGTAGTGTCACCGCTTAGATGGCGCCAGCATGCCAGTGTGTTCTCTCGTCATAGAAGATTTTAGTAAGCTTCAGGGCACTTGGTCCCAAGGTAAGAGTTGCCATCGTGTGAACGGGTGTCTAATTGCGGCTTGTTAGCCCCATTCAGTGTGCTTTTTACCGAGCGCTGGTGCACTGTGGAGAAGCAACACCCGTGGAGCTCGTTCCCGTGGCAAAGCTGTATATTTAGAGTTTGGCCATTTATTGAAAAGTATAGGAGACAAATGAGGAAACTTCATTGGCCGAAAGCGGGCTGGGTGTGTTCCAGGGCGTCTTCAGAAATTTGAATCTGGCCAACCAGAAGCCAGAAATAATACCCTGGCGGCAGGCACGTAGCCAGGATTTTGTTTTGGGGGGGGGGGGGGGGGGGGGGGACAATTTATGATTGTCATGGATTGAATCAGACACATGTGTTCGTTCAGACGGGCCGCCACCATGTGTGTCAACCACACGGCTAGGCCTGACTTTTATTGAAGAGGGCAAACCGCCACCGAGAGGGCGCTACTAAACATATCGATATATAACACTGTTCATCTCGAAGCGAATATAGAATAGCATATTATCTCAAACTACTATCCAAAAATTGGAATATTGCAATATCCTACAAATGTTAAAATTGGGCTGCCTGCGAGTCTAATTAGAATGTTTTCAAATATGCATATTTTACATTTGATGTGAATTAAACGTGGATACTTCCATAAATCACGGCTGGGACCTTTTTTCTAGAAAACTTGCCTGCGAAAAGAAAGTTTGATTGCATGAGAAACTATTCACATACTTGTATGAAGAAATAAAATGTCCTAGCTGATAAAACCATTTGGGTAAATATTTTCTTGCAGGGAATGACTATTGCCAGTTACATACGCTATGTGTGAAAATACAATTTATCATACGTCTGTCTTAACCATTATGTTAATATGCTTAGTAAACTGCTTCAAATCCTGATTGGCTAATAGTTTGGATGTCAAGGTTTTTTTGTGATTTATGTTTTGCTAGTTTGTTGTTTTTTATGTTTCATGTCTGAAGACTTTTTTTTTTTTTTTTGCTGCAGTGTTTTTTTGCCACATGTGGATCTTTTTATGTTAATCAGCTTATTATGTTATCTTTTGTTTTGTTTTTGCGTGCTGTCTGCTGTAAGGGGGTTGATGGCAATGTCAGAAGACTTTCCGTTTTCTTTTTCTACAGCCTCCCGAACACATGTATGTCTGAAAGACATCATCATTGTTAATATAAAACACAATGTAACATGGCAAGCAAAGCAATGACTACCTTATTTATTTAAGTATAGCTTGATGTTTTATTTTCTGGCACTGTCCTTCAAAGTGAACCTACAGTAGTGAGCAGAATATCCGAGCTCATCAAGCCAACTGAGATGCTCCGACATATCAACAGTTTCTCCAAGCACACCAGTGCAAAGCAATGAAGTCTGTCATGCATGCATGTGAAATGGTGAAGCTTGATGCAAGAGCTTTGTTGTGACGCAGAGAAACTTAATGTGAAAAACCGAGAAGTCCTGAAGACATCATTCATAATTTTCAAATATTCGAGAAACTCAAATATTTCGTGCAGTAAAAGTGTACTGAAAATCGAAAAGAATAGCAAATACTATTCCCGCAAATTATTAATTTCTAATATTGACTCGCCTCTACCGTAAAGTTCCGAGAGAACGCCCGCCCCGAGAGATCGCCCATCCCGTTTTTTTTTTTGGGCTGAATATCCATAACGTAAAAATTCCGAAACATCGCCCACCCCTCGATTCTTGCCAGGTATCGATCATGCAATATCTGATGGGAATCGCATCAACCGCGCTACCTGCGGTATTGGTACGTGTGACAAGTGTGTTCATAGCGAATTCCCACATACTTATTGCACCGTGAAACGTGAATCTGCTGCATCTGCAGTCTCTGGTATCTGTTACCATGAAATGCGTGTTCACAGCGGGTTCCTGCACTTTTGTTCATAATCTGCGCGCGTGGTACTGGTTCCCCTGACACCCGGGTTTGTAGCACGTTCTCAAGTGTTTATCGCGCTGTGAAGTGCGAATGTGCTGCGTCCGCATTCTGCAGTATCCGATCCTGTGACAGGGGAGTTTGTAGCGAATTCCCACATACTTATTGCACCATGGAACGCCAATTTGCTGCGTCCGCGATCTGTGTTATCAGTTCCCCATTTTACATAGTTTGTAATGCCCCCCCCCCCCCCACAAACAAACACACACACAAACATTTGTGTTTATCCCCCTTTTTTATAAAAATTGTTTTTTGCATCCCCAAGCATTGCTCACCCCATATTTTTCAAAAATTTATTTCTTAATTTTGGGTGGGCATTCTTTCAGAACTTTACGGTAGTAGGAACTCTACATTGCATGCTCTTTGACATTGTGTTTGCAATTAATTGTCTGTTACAGGACAAAGTGGCACAGACTGCCTGCATGACAGCCTGTCAGCATCTCGCAAATTTGTTGCTCAACATTCTCACCTCAGAAGAAGTGAAGTATATTTCCATCGGAGCTCTGCAACAGTTCAACTTGGATGTGATCCAGTGTGAGCGTAAGTAGCCGAATTAGCATTTGCTTGTGTGCAAAGCATGCAGTGATACAACAATATTTGTTTTCTCAGAGTTTGCCAGTTCAGAGCCAGTCAAGGGCTTCAAGGAAGGCGTACTACAGATGTTCTTTGTGGAGTTGCGGCAGGTAAGTTAAAACTGTAGTTTGAAGCATGGCGAAAAACAAATGCAGAAAGATGAGCAAGGGTGAGAAGACACATGTACCAAGTGTTAATAGTGCATGTGGTCGCTTCAGTCTCCTATGATGATACATATTTGAAAGAATGAAGCCGGGTGAAAACTACTGAACAAATTTGCA